GACCAATAAGTTATGAACTGTTTTAAGTGTAAGACCAATAAGTTATGAACTGTTTTAAGTGTAAGACCAATAAGTTATGAACTGTTTTAAGTGTAAGACCAATAAGTTATGAACTGTTAATAAACTAAAGCATCTAATCTTCGAGAAAGAATGTGACATTTTGTGACATTAATTTTGAAACAATATTTATACTTCATTCTCCACTTAGGCCTATGATTTTCATAAATAAAAAAAGTAAACTTTAAAGCCTACCAATAAATAAAGTTAAGAAACTCTAAAGCCTACCAATAAATAAAGTTAAGAAACTTTAAAGCCTACCAATAAATAAAATTAAGAAACTCTAAAGCCTACCAATAAATAAAGTTAAGAAACTTTAAAGCCTACCAATAAATAAAGTTAAGAAACTTTAAAGCCTACCAATAAATAAAGTTAAGAAACTTTAAAGCCTACCAATAAATAAAGTTAAGAAACTCTAAAGCCTACCAATAAATAAAGTTAAGAAACTTTAAAGCCTACCAATAAATAGAGTTAAGAAACTCTAAAGCCAACGAATGCTGAAAAAAAGTTAACTTTAATGATTACCAACGCTTTATCAAAAGTCACGTTTGAGTAAAGTCACGTTCAACTGTTTATTAGTTATCACCCATGTTTAATTTGTTGGTTAAACAATGTAACATTACAGTAGATAAACGAACAACATGAAAACTGTTGTAAGTTTGTAGGTTGTGTCTATGGAATGGAGATTTATTAAATAAAAACTATTGAATCAAGCGAAGGTCATTGAGCATGTGGGTAAAATATAAATAAGTACACTGGTAAAAAGGGGGGAAACTAACATCTGGTTTCGTTTATGACACCTTTTTATCACGTGAAGGGGCGTGGTACTACATTCTCTAGTCACGTGATCATGGTACGTACATGATGCAATACGTAAAATGTTTAGTCCTAGCTGACATTGGTTGTAAATAACCAAAAATCGATTGTATTAGTTGAATCAAATATTTATTGACCAAAAATGAACTGCTGAACTGATTTGTTAATTTCTGATTCAGAAAACACTTTCGGAACCTCTTTACGTTTTATCCTATATTTGGCTGCAGCGTAGCGGCTCGTAGAATTGCTCGGAGTTTTTTTTTTTTTTCAAGTACAAACTTTTAACTCATAACTCCGTCATCACCTTGACCGATTTGAGATCTAATTACAGTTTTGGACTCAGGAGGGCAAACCCTTTTCTTTGATGTATTTGACTTTGCTCAAGGTCTCAGTTTAATTTACTCTAATCCTGCCTAAAATAATTTCATGTTCTGCAGCTATTGATAATACCCCCCCCCCCCCGTTTCTCTGAGTGACTGACATTTTTGAAAATTTTAACCTCATGGGTCAGTGCATCACATTTAAACTTTCTTTATATTAAAACAATCATTCAATCTAAAAAGTAAAACTAACAAATTCCGAGTATCACAAGCTAACTGGTATAGTTTAAGAGTTTAATTCCGTCCGAAAAACTATCCGGATAACAACAATCACGGATTCAGTTCCTCAGTTTAATTCCCCTTTTTTTACTTTGTAAGAAAACATTATAGTTTTATTGAATGATGTGTCACCCTCAGAGTTTCCTTAACTACCCGTTAAGATACTGATATCAACCCTCAGAGTTTCCTTAACTACCCGTTAAGATACTGATATCACCCTCAGAGTTTCCTTAACTACCCGTTAAGATACTGATATCACCCTCAGAGTTTCCTTAACTACTCGTTAAGATACTGATATCACCTTCAGAGTTTCCTTAACTACTCGTTAAGATACTGATATCACCCACAGAGTTTCCTCAACTACCCGATAAGAGACTGATATCACCCTCAGAGGTTCCTTAACTACTCGTTAAGATACTGATATCAACCTCAGAGTTTCCTTAACTACTCGTTAAGATACTGATATCACCCTCAGAGTTTCCTTAACTACCCGATAAGATACTGATATCACCCTCAGAGTTTTCTTAACTACCCTTTAAGATACTGATATCACCCTCAGAGTTTCCTTAACTACCCGATAAGAGACTGATATCACCCTCAGAGTTTCCTTAACTACCCGATAAGAGACTGAT